TTAGTAAATCCTGCAATTAAACAGCATCTCGAGAAACACGTTGCTCATGTGATCCAACATTTTTGTCATTGCAAGACATGTAAGAAATTTATTACATTTGCCAAAGGAAAGCATTTTCTCTGTAGACAGTTTTGGTCAAAATAGTTGAAATGAACGCTCGGGATTCTCATTACTAGTGTCTTTGTTTTCACTGAAGAAAATACATTTTGCAGGTATTGAGGAACTACCCATATTGAAGTACAGAGACATAGTGATTGAGCATATTGCCACTCATCGTGTCACTTGTATAGAAGGGGAGACAGGGTCTGGGAAGTCCACTCAAGTGCCACAGTTTATACTGGATGACTACCGGACAAGGTAATTAAGGAGAAGATTGCCAAAGGGATAAGTTACACAATGCATGTTAAACCTTTATGCAGTCCTTTTTAAAATGTGAAGCAATTCTATATTTTGATTCACTTGTACCTTGTGTTTGTTTACATTATTATTATTATTATTATATTTGTCTAGGTTGTTTGCCAGATATATTTTCAGATGTGACAGGAGTGATTGGAATTGTCAGTGAATTGTCTATTTGTTAGAAACAGGCTGGCTTAGAGTAGTCTGTATTGATTATCATGAACACAAGGCAAATGATGTTGTGGTCTTTATCGATAAATAAAAATAATCTTTATTTATTACAGAGGAGTGGGCAAAAAGCCCAGTATTATTGTCACTCAGCCAAGACGTATGGCCGCCAAAACCTTGGCAGAGAGGGTTGCGAGAGAGAGGCACACCACATTGGGGACAGAAGTAGGTTACAAGATAGGCCAAGACTACCAGGCCAGCAAGAACACCAGCATACTCTTTGTGACAACAGGGTTTATCATCAGGGTATGAAGAATTATATCTGAAAAAGAGAGCAGATTTATTTTACATCATACTTTTAAGTAATTCAAACTTTAAATTTTAAAATTTGTATATTGTTTTAATTTGTGGAAATGAATGAATGAACAAATGAATGAGTAAATAGATAAATAGATGTCGGATGGATGACAAATGTGACTTTTTTAGAAACGGTGTGCAATTCTTCAAGAATAATGCATTTCATGCCAAAGTTTTGTCTTTAAGTTGTTAAATGTATGACTGTAGCCAGAGATGATTTTTGTGCATAACTCTAGCAGATGGAGGGAAATGATTATTCAGTCTTATGACTATTACTACTACGACGACAACGACGATGACTCAGTTTTCATGTTTGTTTTAGGCCCTGGTTCATGACCCTGCCAGGCTGAAGACTTTCACCCACCTAATACTGGATGAGGTCCATGTGAGAGAACTAGAATCAGACATGCTCTGTCTGATCATTAAACTACTCACCCAAAACAATCCTGACATCAAAATAGTGCTCATGTCAGCCACCATTCAGGGGGATTTATTCTTGAAGTATGTCTGAAAAAAAAACAGGGGGGGAAATTGAAATTTTATAGTGTTATCATTTTTGTCAGTTAAAATTTTTTCCATGTTTGATTTTCAACCACACATTCATTTACGTAGTCTAAGCGGTCAATTTCTTCATTATGAAAAGTGATTATTTTGCCACAGATCCATTGAATTTATTGTTTATCTTTTAGAAATGACTGTTGTCACAGTTTCCACTTATTCTCCCAGATATTTTTATTGGTTTCCTCTTCTGTTCTCCTTGATATTTTCACTCATTAATATAATGTTGCTTGTATTTTGCCATAAATTCTCTCAATTTATATTCTCCTAAATATTATCTTAGATATTTTGCCTTCAATTATTTTTTTTTTATTTTTCTTCAGGTATTTTGCCAAAGAAGAGGAAATCAAACTGATGTCCCAGGCATCTATATTTGTTGGCACCAAGAGATATCCCGTGGAGCTGGTCTACCTGGAGAACATTAACCAGAGGTTTGGTTCAGACCTGACATCATTTCAGAAAGTGAAACTCGCCACTCTGATCATGAAGTACAACGAGACGACCCCAGCACACTACTTGACGTCAGATGATCCTAGGTATTAAATTCTTTATAACTGTTAAATATATGTGTAATTTTGGTTTTATGATTCAGGAGTCACCCTGAATGAAAAAAAAACTAAGAATAGATAATAAGTAGTAATATTTTATTTAAAATAGGCATAAGCCTTTCTTGATACGGTGCATTCCAGCCTTTTTGTAGTTGCACTTGATCACTCAGCATGCGGTTTGTAAGAACATTATTTCATATCTGAGGTCCTTGTATTTTTTAACCTGAAAAACATCTTTTCATGTACCAATTTGAAAACCCTGGTGGTGATTATGCCATTAATTAGTATGTAAGAAAGTCTATCATAAACACTACCAAAAGAAAAGTTTAACCATGCTTCTTATTATCCTATTGTTTGCCAGATTGACTGTTAGAACCAAATGCAACCGTGGCCGGACAACAAATGTATTGTCTTTTCAAAGTCTTTATTCCGACTGATCTAACATAAAATACAGTACTTTCTTCACATCTGATCTCTGGTGTATCTCTCTCGAATTACGCGCCAACAGCTTTATATAGTATTGGGTCACATGACCCACATGTCACACAAAGGGCACTAACACCAGCTATACATATTCATTACATCTATTTATATACTTTAGCTTTACTTTTATTATACTTTAGGTACAATGTACTATTACATACTGACATATACATGTGAATACATGTACCCTATGACATAAATACGGCTCCAAGTAGAAAAATTGTTTAAAAAACAATTTTGAAATGAACTCTTCTAAATTGCATTTTTGTTTTTTAAGAGGACATTTGACCATACAAAGGTATCATTTTGGCCATACTGACCATTTCAAAAATATCATACCTTTTTTCAGTGACCAGCCCATTAAAGAGTTTTTACTGGAGTTGAAGGATGCTCATTTGTACAATGCGGTAGGAAAGAGGCTGGCAGCAAGTAGGGAGGCCAAAGGTAGCTCTGTGACAGATCCAGAATATGACCTGGCTCTCACTCTGATCAGGTTGTCTGCAGTACCTGGGGAGAGTATCTTGGTTTTTCTACCTGGTAAGCTCAGATATCTTGATGTGAGCATTTACATGCGTAACTCCACATTCATATCACGTGTAATTTAACAGATGCGACATCAGCAAGTACATTTAAAAAGTGATTAATTGCAACCTACACGTGATTTTGCTGTCTGGATTATTAACATGTACTACACTGCCATTGCTAAAGTAAATATTATAAATGAAAAAATTTTAAGTGAGAAAACTTATATGAGAAAATTCTGATTGGTCAGAATGATGTGATTTTTCTTCAGTCAACAGCTAATATTGAGATAGGTTTTACCTCCAATATTTCGATGTCTATCAGGACATCTTCAGGAAATGAGGCTATCCAGGTGAATAGCCTCTACTCAGGAGATATACTGGTAAATGCGTTTAAAAGACCTGGTGTTGTAATGACAACACATGGACAGTTGTCATAAAAAAAAAAAAAAAAAAAAAAAAACATGCCATAAGCTTGTGTTGTGTTGTAATAAAGACTTAAGCTATATTGTTTTACCTTGGGAGACGACAAAATGTCAAATTTGGATCAAGGAAGGAGAAGGCAGCAAAGCTGTTAAATGTACAGAAAAAAATATGAAAATAATGATGCGCAAAATAGACTTCTGTCAATTCTGATACAATAATACATTATACTTATTGGCAAAATCAACACCAAAATTTAATTATGTACAAGAGGCAACACAGGTATAAAAAAATTTAAGTAAAATGTGTAACCAGCATAAGGCTTCAGGCCCATGAGACTTCAAGTTCACACTTTGAAAATGCCAGAGTGAGAAAAATGAAAATTTCACAAATAATTTCATAAATTCAAAAAAAAAAAAAAAAAAAAAAAAAAAAAAAAAAAAAAAAAAAAAAAAAAAATATATATATATATATATATATATATATATATATATATATATATGATAATCCAATAGAGATGGTTTTTAATTTGAGCTGTAGGTCAATCCTAAGATTCATTTTTGTAAAATAATAAGTTACACAGTTTTTTTTCATAACATTTGTAATGGCAGTGCAAATAGGAGTTTTTTTTTTCAATTTTGATGCAATATTACATAATGATCAACAGCATAGTCAGCACCAATTTTTAATTATCTACCACACATAACATGGGTATAAATTGATTACCATATGGTATTAATCTTTCTAAATTAGGTAGGCTTTATCATTTTCTTCATTGAGCTTAAATGAGCTCTGTTAGTCTAGAATATATCCAACAAAATGTTTTTGTAATAATATCAATGTTGCATATTGATAATATATAAAAGGATGATGTTAGTTTTTTTACCAAAATAATAATCTCTAATCAGGCAAAGAAATATATTTATGTAGGGAAGGTATCATGGGGGCTGGAGGGGGCAAATAGGAAACCTTCAGCTGTCTTTCTTTTACTAATCAGTTTAAATAAGGTTGTATCACAAATGGAACCATTTTATCCCATAAATGTAAAATTAATTTAGTGTATCACTTTACTATTATTATTTAATTTTGTATTAGCTGGATGTAGTGAATTGTCTCATTTGCCTCAGGTACTGTTGTTTTCCAGGCAAGGTGACTATTGAGGAGTTCTTTGACCTTTTACTACCATTTGAGGATAGAAAGCACAGAGGCTGGAAATGCCCCATCAAGTTGTTTGCTTTACATTCCATGGTAAGTGTCTGTGATAATTTTTCCTTTAATTTTGGGGGGCCACTGATACTCCTTATTTCAAAACTAGCTATAATTGCCTTGCGTCCAATTTCCAACACTGAACTGATTCAGAGATGACCCTATTGTTTAAGCTGGGTCTCTGATGTGATGGTCTCCCTGCTACCGTGTTATAAATGCAAGTGTTCTGTATAGTTGGTGCAATATGTATTTGGAGAAAGTTTTACAGTTTGTAAAGTTGGTCTTACTAAATTTTGATCTAAAGATCTTAATATTGATTTTAAAACAATGACATCTGTGTGGATTTGAAGTCTTTATTAACAGAAATCTATATTCTGTAAATCAAAGTACATAAATTAAAATCTAGAGAAAATCATTATTCATATATGAACTACCAAGTCTAAGTGTTCATTTATTGCAGAAGTTCACCTTTTTAAAGGTGCTAAATCTGACTTAGATGGGTTGAGAAAATTCACAAAATTAATACAAAATGACTTACAAAGTTACATATGATTATGAGATCTTTGGTGAAAGTGAAAATAAAGCTAGTGCTCAATTGTTTTTGTTGTGTTGCAGTGTCTGTTACCAGCTAAATGGTCCACTTTGCTACAGTGCATAATGTGTACTGTAACTCGTTAAGACAGGAAAAGAGCAGATATGTCAAGTGCTAAATTTTTGACACTATGAAATTTTATTCATTGGCTCTCTCTTAGTTTTCGGTCTGTATTTACAGACCACTTTTACCTATTGAAAATAGACATATATTTGTCACAGGTAATTAAGATTGAAATACTGTCTGATTTTAAATCCACCAGAGGTACATGTAGGTTATGAGTAAAATATTTATAAGCATATTCAGGCATACTGTCACTTGTAATTTTTTTTAAACAATGCTTAAGTTCAGCCACCTCAGATTATACGTTATGACTAGAATTAAGAAATACATCCATACATAATGTTACTCATAGGTTTTTTTTAATCAATAGTTCAGCCTTCTCTAATAATTACGACTAGAACTTAGAAACACACACAAACATAATGTTACTTGTAAACATTTCTGAACACTAGTTCCACAACGTCCTCATTGTGGAGAATATAGTCAGTGTTCGAAAACTTTCAACAACAGAGTACTACTTGGTGCAGACCACACAGGTGAGCTCTCTACCACTGATGTAGTCAGGGCAGGGGAGAGAGCCACAGGAAGCCTCAACATTGTAAAGCAGGGCGCCTTGTTTGTCATCCCCTCCTTTCTCGTCCACCTCGGGGGCACTGTCCACACATATGTACTCTGAGCGCTTGTGGGTATAGGCAGAAGACATGAGATACCCCGTGTACTCCTTGGACCAGCTGTTGGGGCATTCCATGTGTGCCGGGATCATGATGTGGCTTGAGCGTGTGGGGACACGACAGGCAGCACATACTACATCTTGGGGGGTTAGACTTGTTATGGAATTGGCATTTGTTTTGTGGAAAGGGTCATTTGCTGCTGTCCTAAACTCAACACCATAGAAGTGACCACTTGACTGAAATCCATCTGTGTAGATGCCCCACTGTGGGTCTCTGGGCATACACAGTATGTTGCTCCCTCCTCCTGTGTGGGTATAATGGGACCCACCAGCTATACCTAAAATATAGAAATTCATGATAATATATACATGTATTTAAAAAACCCTCTGACAGTTTTTTTTTTTTTTTTTTTGAACCTGCACTCTAAGAGAAAAGGGGAGCACCTGGGGCACGTAATTCCAGGCCTCTACATTGTGTTTTCATAAATCTACTCGTGAAATAATTTGGGTGAATTCAGCTTACCACTATATACCAGTTCTGCTTCCACAGGGCATGTTGTTCTGCCCCAGCGGATATACACTGCTCCACCAGCTTGTCCTGCCAAGCAAAGGCAATGTGAGAAATATAGAAAATGTCTGTATTATATAGATTTTTTAACTCTAGAGTCTAAGAACATATATGCAGAATCTTTAACTTATTTTATATGCTGATCAGAGAATGATGATAAAATGAATTTCACCACTATTGAAAGTTTTCAGTGACAAACTAGAATCCAAAAATAAGGATCCTAGATGACAAGTGGAAATTAGTTTATGATAAATGTATGACACAAACATATATATACAAACTGAAAAATAAAGCAATCTAACTATAATTCTGTCATCATGCTTTCATTTACTAGTAAGTATTGCAGAAAAATTAATTTTCATATTTATCACAAATCAAGACTTAAAGAAAAATGAGATGATTAACTATAGAAATATTATATCTGGCAACAGTAAGCTGTAGAAGATTAGGGTTTAAGATGTACACAGAATATACCATCTGGTCCTAAGGAACTGATTTAACATGCTAGTCTCTCTGACTGGTTGGGATAAAGGTGTAAGCACTTTTCCAATATGCAATGCTTACATATAATTCTCTTACCATTGATTGAAACCTGCCTCTTTGCTCTGTGTAAAGTGCCATTCTCTGGTCTACTGTCAATTTTTCCATGCAGTAAATGGTTTATTTCCTTAATATTTTCCTATAAGATGAAAAATAAACTAAGACCTATTTGAACCAGTTCTAATAATTTGAGGTCATGCAACAAAATTAATGTAGCACATTATGCATATAATGTATTATATTGTTTTTTTATATGAAAAAATCTACATAGCTTGTATAAAGACATTTCACAGTACCAATATAAATGATTTAATACACAAATGAAACATCTTTTGATGTGGCTTCAGTTGATGTAAAATACTAAAAAAGGATCATGCAATGAAATTTAAAGAATGGCATTATGATAAATACAAGTTTTAAACTGACCTTGAGTTTTTTATTCTCCTCTGATAGTTTTTCCCCCTCGTCCTTGAGCTGTTTGGTCAGAGCATTCAGCTGTGCTAACTGCTGCTTGTCTTGAATGATGTCTTTCTGCAGTTCATAGACCATCTTCATGAGCACCTGGTTATGCCCTGTTCCATGTGCTTTATTTTCAACATAAGGTAAAATACATACTGTCGCCAGTAGAGACAGTAAAACAGAGTCCAAGATTGTCATTTTCTTCTGCTCTGTACACCTTGCTTTCCTAAGGTAAATGTCCACAACCTATTATGTATAATTTCTATATATATATGTGTGTGTATAATATAAAAGAAAAGTTACTTTTTTGTCACAAACAATATCTGTTGATGTTAAGGACAGCACCAAGGTTTTCTCTTTGACTGCTTAGGTCCACAGGTGTGTCAGTCTGATTGCCTGCACAGGGGTGTCAACATAGTTTTAAAGGTGTGCTGACTCACTTACTTGATCCTGTTACTGTGGGTTTTACCTGGGATTTCCTGAGAAACAGGATATAGTTGTTTACAGGGTCACTTTCATACCAGGAAGTGAAGTGTGCACTCATCACTTGTTGTGGTGCTTAGCCTGGCAATTAATGATAAGGGCCTTGTGGTATTCTTCAGACACTCCTTTGTTGGGTGTTATTTTGAAGTGCAGGTAACTGTCTGTCTCACCACAGTAAACTATTTTAAGGCCTGTTATTTGGATTTATTGGCTTCCCACCCATCCAGAAAATGTCCTTAATCTTTTAATGATTTCCAACCTGGGCTGTGTTATGAATCTCTGAGTGTTTACATGACTGTATAATCATTACACCTAGTTAGGTCCTGGTATGACGTGTATTTTAAGTGATTTAATTTAAGCCCATTGGAGCAAAATTGAGATGAGATATAGGAATAGAAATTTAAGACTGAGAGTGAGAAAGAGAGAGGGAGGTGCACATGCGCAAAAAAAAAAAAAAAAAAAAAAAAAAAATCCTGTCATTATATTATCACTCTCTCATTTCCCAGGACAAAATTTACAATGCAAGAATCTAGCTGAGTAGATTGAGTAAAACTTTACACAAGTTCAGAAGTTTTTATGGATGATGTTTAGACCTATAATTATATTTAACTATTTGGTCTTATTGCATTTCCATTTATTTGATTTTGATTATTTACTTTTATCTTTTGTGTAAAAATTATCATTGCATCACTCAAATTGATGATAAATTATTGTTAATTATTATGAACATGGGTTAATTTTTGGCACTTTGAAGATAGAAATATTCTCATATATATGTACTAGCTCCCCACAGGCTGCCACCATGGGTGGAGCACTTTTTCATGGTGTATTGACTTTATTCTCCAATATATATATATATATATATATATATATATATATATATATATATATATATATATATACTTTTTTGTCACAAACTCACAAACTATATATACTTGGGGCCTTCAGAAGAGATCTTGGAATCAACCTCATGGAAAATTTGAAGTTTCTGATGTTGAAGGTTTTTCTTCAGACTAATATATACTTCATTATTCAGTAATTTTAAGTTAAAACTACAAACTGCTGGTCAACCTTTTATAGTGAGCTGACTATAGTAGGTCCTAGCAACCAGAAGCATGCATGATTATGCTATAACATCCTGTATTCTGCTAAATAGTGAAATTGTTAAAAGTAATCATGCTAACGAGGAGAGTTCTTCAAACTTGCATGGACAAGAATTCAGGGTTTATGCCCACAAACATCAGGACTGATTTTAGGGGAAACCCATTGACCAAAGCTCATTGATTCCATTAATCATCTGTTGAGAATGAAAATTTTGTTCGTGCTTCGTAAGATAAATTGTTAGCGATATTGTCCCCACATATTATTATTTATATTTGTGCAAGATGACCTCAAGACAGTTGATCCACATCACTGTGTATTACTAATAATTTCTGTAAATCAGTTTGTCTCATATGAATATCTTTTATTATTATGTAAAAGTTTTAATACAAATGATTTTATTTTTGATTAGAGAAAACAAGTACAATTTAGATCTGATAAAAACATGTAAATATTGAAACTAAGTTGTCTCACCTTTTGAATAATACCACAGTTATTGTAATGACCTGCTCTTTTCAATGGGAATAATTATTTTTCCATTTTTTTCAGTGCAAAATTTTAGAATCATAAAAGATATATTTCTATAAAATATTTGTCGTGTTTTTACCATATAAAATGGAAATGTAAAGTAGCCTGCTTTTTTTGTTAATTTTGCTACTACCACTCTATAGAGATGTTCTAAATTTAAGAATGTATAACTTAAAAAAATACATTACCTGTAAAATTCAAAATTTTCCCCATTGAAAAAAGATTGAGTCATCAATATTCTTAGATCACACATTGCATGTAAATTCATAATCAACTCTAGTAAACAGTTGCTTCCATGGATTATACTTCTTGATCATGATTTAATCATACTCGAAGCAGACAAAACTGTAAAACTGTCTGTCCTTGTTAAATCTCTACCTGTTTATAGTAATTGTTTAGATTTTAAGGCTAATATAGTAATATACTCAGCAGTTCTATTTAGTGCACACTACACATGTGAGTTCTTTCCCATCACCATAGCTAGGACAGGGGAGAGAACCACAAGCCGCTTCAACATTATACCAAAGTCCACCATTTTGATTCCCAACACCCCCGTCATTAACTTCTGGGGCGTTATCGACACAGACAAAATCTGATTTTTTGTGCGTGTGATGAGAAGACATCAAGTAGCCTCCATACTCCTTGGTCCAGCTAGCTGGACAGTCCATTTTGGCTGGAATCATCACTTGACTGGTCCTTGTTGGGATGCGACAGACAGCACAGACTGCTGTGTGGTCTTGCAAACTGGTGATTTTTCTGTCCACGTTGGTTTTGAGGAAGGGGTCGTTGTTATACATTTCAAATTCCACTCCGTACATGTAAGATTTTGACTGGTAGCCCTCAGTGACGGTCCCCCACTGAGGATCATGAGGAAGACATAGATAGGTGGCACCACCTCCATTGTGGTCGTACCAAGAACTACCGACCACACCTGAAATAAAGAAAGAACTTAGGATAGGTGTTTTTTTCTTTACAGACTTTATGGGGTTTTTGTCAAGTTTGATGCAATATTACATAATGAAAAATGATATAATCACTACAGCCGTGTGATATATATAACATGAACATTCAGAAAGTATAAATAATATTGGACTTTAGGCCAATGAGATATCAAAGTCACACACTGAAAATGCCACTAAGTGTAAAATGAAAATTTCACAAACATCTGCAAAACTCCCAAAAAAATAATCTTGATCATCAGCTGATTTTCTAATTTGAGCTGTTTTTTGTCCTGAGAATATTTTTTTTACATTATGGATTATTTAGTTTTGTGGTTTTCCTTAAATAGTATTTTTAGTGGCAGTATACAGAATGTTTTTTGTCAATTTTGATGCAATAGCACACTTATTTAATAATTTAATTAAATAACATATTTAACAACCAATTTTAATTTTGTACTATAGGTATTGAGAAAATGCAACTAGCATTTAAAAGTAACACACCGACAATGACAGTAGGTGAAAATGTAAAATTACTTAAAAACTGCATAACTTTAAGAAAATAAATCAAATAATTAAAAATAAAAAAATTAAATATTCCAAAATTGATACTTGACCTGTATTTTAGTACCACAAATCAATCAAATAATTGTGAGAATAATAAATTACAGGCTTTTCCATAAATTGTGTTCATGGTAGAAAGTGCACAGCTACAACGCTACAGACAACAGACAAAGGTGATGGCTATGACTTCAGATACATCATGTCTGTACATATGTAGGGAAGAACTTATTATTAATGCTGAAAGAACTCACCATTATATACCTTTTCGGCACCACTTGGGCATACCGTTCTGCCCCATCTCACATATGTTGCTCCACCTGAAGCCAGAGAAAATATGTCTGTTTGAGAATATTTTTGTGTAAACATTCTCAACATATAAAAGTTATGAACTTGGACACTGATCAATTTCACCGGAAAATCTCTCTTTATTTGATTGAATTAATTTGCCACTTTGCTAATACTGAACTACTATAAAGCAGTTTAAAAAAGAAATAAATATGGAGTTGTGAATGTACAGATAATCAAGTTATTAAATAAAACATTTAACAAGTTGATTACAAATTTAGAATGTTAATCACCTGCTCCAGGAGAATTTTGAATCTGCCTTCTGTACCTTATCAGAGTTTTGTTGAGCCCTTCAACTGGTTTTTCTTCCCTTTTGTGAAAATCTTTCAATTTTTCCTGATAAATTATGGAAAAGAATTTAATGTATCGTGGACATCCACTTTTTAGGATAGTAGCATATTTTAGTCACATATAAGTAGATCTTTATTGCATATGTATCTGATATGTGGATTGTGGCATTTTGATCCTATGTGGGAATTTTAATCTTACAAATCTTAAATCAGTTGATTTTTTTTTTTTTGGTTATCAGTTAATAAAATGAATTGAATTATTATAATTAGTTAGTATAAGACAATTTATCTTCAGTGGTTTGATGACAGGTGAGAATTTAAAAAAAGAATTTTTATTAGAGTATTCACCTTCAACATTTTGTTTTCCTCTTGCAGTTCCTGGGTCACCATGTCCAGGTGTGCCAGTTTTTTCTTATCATCTATTATGTCTTTCTGCAGATCATACACCATCTTCATCAGGACTTCTTGTCCAGCCTCGCTCACATAGCCCCTAACATGTGAAGGGGTCAAGCAACAAAGAGCTGCCAGAAGTATGCCAATTCTCACAGTCGCAATAACTGCAGTCATTGTTCTAACTTCATTTGACTTACACTGAATCTAGATAGATTTTGGGCGACTATTTGTACTTGGAACAAGTAGGGAGGGTCATCATTTTAATAGCATCCTGTTGGGAAATTTGGACTACAAGTAATTTCCTGCTAAGAGATGATTTGTGGGTGAGCAGGAAAAATCCGTAAATCTATTTGTGTTTGTTTGTTTGGAAGTAACCTGTATGCAGTACCGTGCAGCAATTATTTCACTTCCACCCATGCAGAAAACTTCCTGCTTGGATATTTCCTGCATAGATACCAGGACATTTATAATCCCACTAAGATAGTTATTGCAGGGTAATGTGTTCTTTTTCCACCAAGGTATTTAAATATTATAGACCCTATTCCCAGAGATTAGATCGATCCAACTAGATCGACCTAACTCCCTGGGGGTTCACGCTTAATAGCTGTCAGCCGAGGGGGCACGAAAGTTAATTACCCCCTTACAGCTTGTAGTAGGCTGGACGGACACTTAAGCCGGATTATCTGACAGTAATCTAGTGAGACTCCCCACAGGGATAGATCGATTTAAAATCTATGGGAATGCACCCATAGATGCTGGTGTTAATAAATCACTGCATTAATATCTTAAATAGACTTAAACTGTCTTTCATTAAGTAACGCATTGTCAACTACTGAGTGTGCTGGGCTTTGGAACTGATTTGAATTCAGTATGCTATTCTCCTTTAAAGAATTATACATTGTATCTCATCAGACAAAAAAGCTAATTAAATTATTAATTTACTTATTACTCTTCAATTACATGTAGGTGACAGGTACTAGCAAACTGCACCAGGCCTAGAAATAACTCGGGGGGAGGGTTTATTAACAGAACATGAATATTATGTTTAATTCTTTTCTGTAGTTACAGTAGTTATTGTAAGAAAATGGTATGTCCTGCTAGTGTACCATTTGTGGGTGTGGTCTTTCAGTTTTGTGAAATTGAAGCTTTGGTGTATTCATCCTGAGAAATGTCAGGCCACATATATGATAAGATTCTAAGAAAAAAGATGGAAAATGCACGGGGATTTTAATGATCTAGTCAGCTATAAAGTACAGGTCCAGTTGATTGAATAATGGCAGTGAAATGGAGATGTTCAGAGTTTACCTACTATATGTAATCTGTATGCATAATGCTCCCGCACCTTCCCCTAAAAAAATATGTTCTTAAGGTTTTTATAAATAGAACAGTGTTTTTCCCCTATTATATTGGGCAATTTTTACTTATTAGCAACAATTTAATTGAATAATCATATTTACTTTAATGATAGTCTGCTAATGATAATTTTGAAGAATGCTTCTGAAGTTATCACAAGTGAATTATGTTCATGTCAGAAAGTGTTTTTGTGAATATTGCCCACTATGGAAATGATTCATCTTGAAAAGATGAGATTATTATGAAATAAGTATATGACGTTTTAAGTTCTTGAGTGAATAATTGTTTTTGTCATCTGCATAGTATTGTGTATTTTTTCAGTGGAAACTATTCATAAAAAGAGAACAAAGAAAGAATTCAAGTGTTAGTGAAAGACACTGGGTTTATTTTCAAAAGATGTAGTAAGCAATAACTGTCTACTATAGATATTTGCAAATGTTTTACTTAGCATATAAATGATAGCAATTCTTCTCTTTACCAATCAGTTTTCAAAAATTTTGTTAAACCTAAAAAATACTGTAAACAAAGAACAAGCAGCTCACAGTTAAATGAATACTACTTATTTAGAAAAATTTACTTGACATTATCTGTTCTATTTGCCAACAATGATTATAATTATTTGCAAATTATATTAAATCTGAGAAAAAAAAAATACTTGCGAAAATTAAGTATTAAAAAAAAATCTGGGATAGTTTACTTAGAGCACACAACACAGGTTATTTCTTTCCCAGATAGATAACTAGGACAAGGCAGTGACCCGCACTGTGCTTCTACTATGTAAAATAAAGCACCATCTTGGTTACCATCTCCTCCATCCATCACCTCTGGGGCCTTGTCCACACAGACAAACTGAGATTTCTGTTGTGCGTGATGGGAGGACATAAGATAGCCATCGTACTCCTTGGTCCAGCTAGCTGGACAGGTCATTTTGGCTGGAATCATGACCTGGCTGGACCTTGAAGGGATGTGGCAGACAGCACAACGTGGACTCTGGTCATGTACTGTTGTCAGCTTTGGAGTGTTGTGTGTGAGGAAGGGGTTGTTGGCTTGTATTTCAAACTCTACTCCATAGAGAAAGGAGTTAGATTGGAACCCGTCTGTGGTAACCCCCCATTCAGGGTCATGAGGAACACACAGGTAGTCGCTGCCTCCCCCGCTGTGGGAGTAGTGAGATCCTGCACCAACTCCTGGAAGAGAAGTGAAATGTTGTAAAATAAACATTTTTACAGGTATAAATAACTATATGCATCTTGTTGGTTGGTTTTATGGCCAAATTACTTTTTAGAAACTTTATATTTATTATTGTCGAAATTTGGTAAATTGTTTAGGACATTTCTGAGTAAGTATCATACTTACTCAGAAATGAGAGATTTAAAACTGAATCTTTAAGTGAACTGTAATCAAATTCTACAGGGTGCCTTCGTCTATTAAAGGATTTTAAATATAACATCAATCATGGCTTCACATTTAAATTAATTTAATCCTCAGTCATGTTTCAGTTTCTTCTGTGAATGGGCTTCAGTATCACATTTGCCATAGAAAGGGGGGGGCATTAGAAATTGTTTATTTGCTGTCCAGAAGAAAATTATCAGTAACATTGTTATGATACTGAATGAAAATTTGTACCATTATACACCAGTTCAGCTCCTTGTGGACAGGTGCTTCTTCCCCAGCGGATGTAGGTGGCACCACCAGTAGTACCTGTGAAAAGTGATGTTTTTTTTTCTCAGCAATGTTTTGTGAAATCATATGTATTTTCAATGTAAGTAATGCTCATGCAGAGTATGTGAAATAGAGTCTAAATAAGATATTTGGCCCCTAATGAAAGTTATCTCCTAGAAGCTAGACTGCATGAAATCCTGCATGGCATACAAATACCAATTTGAGTTATGACTAACAGATCTACAGTGTAGTTCTTAAAAAAATAGAGAGCATTAACAATGCATTATAAGTTGTATATTTTTGTTATTCCCTTTAGCTGACATTTTTCCATTTAGTAGAATATATATATATGATACACTGTATTCTACAAGACAACATACAATGTTTTTAGTGAATTTTGTTGGTTATTCCTGTTAAAAGTACTTAAAAGTCCTGTTGAATGTGTATCTGGTGAGGTATTTCTAGGAAGATGTTGGACAGCTGTACATTATAGTGTTTTGTAAAGTTTATACTTACCAGCAGAATTCTGGATGCTCCTTTTGTGTCTGATTGATGTTTTATTGGCTGATGTGTCTTCTTGTTCAGTCCTTTCTTTTTCTTCACTGCTGCATTCATGCAGTTTATTATGGAGAATTACAACTTGTTTCTATAGAAAAAAATAGTGATGAAATACTTTTTGTTATATATATATATATATATATATATATATATATATATATATATATATATATATATATATATATATATATATATATGAATAATTGATAAACTTTGATTCATGTCAGTGTATACAGTTTTGAATGTTATCCAATAAGTATTTTATTTGGGTTTTCTGGATCCTGGATTTTGTCACACAATTATGCATACTTGGATCATGATTTTTTTTCATTCCTCTAAAACCTGGTCTCTCACAATTTACTATTCCCATTTTTTTCATATTTATGACCTTGCTTCATAGTCATAAGCTTAGGAATAATTTAAATCAATTCAAATTTATTTTAAATACCTGCAATTCTCTTGCCAACTGCTTCAGCTGATTAATTTGTTTTTGCTGTTTGTCTTGACTACGGTATTTCTTGAGCTCTTTCAGCATTTTAGTGACTTCTTTGTCATTCATCAGACTTATTTCACCACCCTCTTCTTCCTCATCGTCAATAATATAACGATGTGCCTGTGCCTTGTAAGAGAGGAGAAGTATCAAGGCAAAAATGTAAAACACTGATAGAATATGCAGCTTCATTTTGAATGCAACGATTTACACAATGGAAATATACAGCTTTCCTTTTTTGCTGCTGCAGATGTAGTACATGTGTGGAACATGTAGGAGCTGGTTTGGTTCTTTTATAGTAGTTGCCAGTCATGGGAGTAACCATGGCAGTGACTTATTTCCTGATAGGGACCTTGTGATATTGATGGGGAAATTCCCAAATCCTGTTTATGTAGCTGCAGATAGGTATAATGGGTTTAATCCTTGTTACAGTTATGTATGACAATTCTCTTGATGGGTGTACTTTCTTTCTGTGATGGTGATAGATTATGTTAATATGCTTTTTATAACTTAGTCTAGATAAGATCTTTGGCCTTTAATGAAAATTAATTCCAAGAAGGCTGCATGAACAAAAAGTCATTTATTTGAATTAAAGCCTATGTACTAATCCTACATGGCAAACAAATACCAATTTGATTTATTATTTTGTGGCTGGGCAATACATTTTTATGTGTGCATGACCTTGCGAGTTTTAAATTTGTAATGAGAAATACATTAACATGTGGAAGAGTCCATCCATGCTGTAACACACGTAGTGCTAGAAAAAGGAATATAGTCTCGTTGGGGTGATGTAATTTGTTTATTCTCCTTCTTTTGTCTCTACCAGTTGTACAATACTCGTCAACGACTACAACGACGGTTTTAACTGAAATAAAAAATTAATTAAATAAATAAATAAATAAATAAATAAATAAATAAAATACTTAACTAATTTAATGCAATAATTACAAAGGGAATAATCTAGAATGCTGTAATTGAGAAATCTGCAATAGCACAATATGGCACAATTCAGGCACCCAACATCTTTGATACAACTAGCACAATTTGTGTAACATGAGACAGCAGAGAAAGCATGCGGTGCATTACTCCTTCAGAATATCTAACTGAACCTTAAACATGTTTTACTTATAAAAATTCTACCACATAAGACAAGGTGTGTCATATAAACCATTAAATGTCACAGCAAAGAACTAGTACAGTGTAGATAAATCAATTAAAATCAATGTGGGTCAAACTGCTTCTCAGTAAGCGTTAAACTCAAGGCAAGCCAAAAACAACAATTCACTTAACTAAGCGCATCTTAATTTCTCTAGTTACAAACAAAAAAAAAATTACATTAAAAACAATTTTACTTACATTCCTGGTCAGACAGGTTTCACAAAGGTGTACAAAAAGGTGTAAAAAACTGCTAGTATTGTGAAAACACGTTTTCTCCTCTCTAGATCAGACAAAGGAATGAGATGTGCAGTGAAATTTAAGCCACCTCCAGGAATGTCGTTAAAAAGCAATCAAAGAAAACTATTTGCTAGCTAACACTTTCTATGGGCAATAGGGGTCAGCACATTACTACCTACTTTGATTCAGCTAGCTAAATTTTGCCAGGTGTTACATCCCGGCCCCGATGCATAGTCAAGGGACTATGCATTACCTAGTCTAACAATACAACACCTGCATCCCACCAACTTGAAAACAAAAGTTACACATGTCTACACTAATGATTAACAAACTATTATTACTAGTATACAAGTCCTTAAGACTTTGTCAAAAAACGCGCATGCATGCTTGGGCAGCGATCCGCCTACACCCTTACAAATGATAATAATAATAATCTAGTCCATTCCATAAAACAAAAAGCTTAAGAGTTATTGGTCTTCTCCGGACGCCTCTAAAAGACAAATCTTGGTTATTGGCCTTTCAAAAATACCATGGGCTGTCTTTACTTCAACTGCGCGCACAATGTTGTCGTTTCCTGCACGGGTACCAGTTACAAGTCCCAGAGGCCACTGATTACGAGGGGTGTGATCCTGGCACACCATCACCAAATCGCCTGGTTTCAAGTTACTGGTAAGTTTCAACCATTTTTGGCGTTCTTGCAATGCAGGCAGGTATTCACTTAACCAACGTGACCAGAAGATGTCAGCAAGGTATTGGACTTGTTTCCACCTCTTACGGTATTGGTCTTTAGCTTCGAACTGTCCAGGTGGTAACGTGGGTCCTCCACGAAGCATTAAAAGGTGGCTTGGCGACAGCGGTCTCTCATCTTGGACATCGTCAGACAACTTAGTGATTGGGCGGTTGTTGACGATACCTTCAGCGACTGTGAGTACTGTCACAAGGTTTTCATCATCCATGGTTTGCTGCTTCATTATGCCAGCAAGCACGGATCGTACAGATCGAATCTGCCTTTCCCAGACGCCCCCCATATGGGACGCTCCAGGGGGATTGAATTTCCAATCAATTTCTCTTTTTAGGAGGAAGTTGTGGATTTTGCCTTGGTTCCATTGTAGTAAGGCCCTACGGAGTTCTGCCCTGGCTCCCGTGAAGTTGGTTCCATTATCCGACCTAATCATCCGCGGTGCCCCTCTTCGAGCAATGAACCTCTCCAAAGCATTTATAAAACTATCTGTATCAAGTGAATGTGCCACTTCAATGTGGATAGCTCTTATAGCTAAACAAGTAAAAATACAGCCATATCGTTTGACTTCTGATCTTCCCCTTTTAACATTAAAGGGTCCAAAATAATCGACGCCTACGCATGTAAAGGGTGGTTCATATGGCGTTACTCTTTCCTTCGGGAGGTCTGCCATAAGCTGGACTTCGGTCTTGCCTCTTGATTTTCTACAAGGTATGCACTGGGAAACTATTACTTTGACAAGCTTTCTTCCCTTTAGGATCCAATAACGCTGAGGAGTTTCAGCCAATACTCGTTCAACACCTGCATGTCCAGTAACCATATGACAATCTTCAACGATCAGTCGTGATACATGGTGTTTGTGGGGCAAAATCAGTTGATGTTTAGCATCATCGTCTAAATCAGCCGAGTTAAGCCTGCCCCCAACTCGCAACAGTCCTGCCTTAGACTTCACAGGTCTCAACTTTGCCAGCTGTGGTCTTGTGTCCGTGTTGCTTAGACTGCACTGTACATACTTGACGATAGCTAACTCTGACGCTTGCAACTCTCTTGCACTTAAGGGTCCAGAAGTTGTTGGTTTCTTTCGCAAAATTTGTTTAAGTCGCAGCATCCATGCTATTGCTTTCTTCAACTTAAACCAGGAGGAGTAGTAATTCAACAAGGTGTTGGTTGAATCAACATCACTTTTTGTGGAGTACACCACAGGGTTTCTTTTCACTTCAGCAATCTTCTCCAATTCTGTACATTTGAATGCGGGTTGTTGTGGCCATTGTGAATGACTCAATTTCAGAAAGTCTGGCCCATGGACCCAGCGTGAGCTGCTTACTAACTCTTCTGCTGTCATTCCCCGTGACGCATCATCTGCTGGGTTTTGGGATGTGGGAACGTATCTCCATTGCACTGGCTTAGTGTGAGCCAGTATTCGAGATACTCTGTTTGCAACATAGGTTTGGAATCTCTTTCCTTCATTTTGAAGGTACCACAGTACAATGGTGCTGTCTGTCCAGAAAACAGACTCTTCTAGGGTTAGTTCCAACTCCTGTCGTAGCAGTTTATCTAATCTCATGGCTTCTACTGCACCTGCTAGTTCTAAACGAGGTACAGTTGAACCTTTTAGTGGAGCCAATCGCGACTTGGCCATCAAGATGCCAACATGGGTAGCGTCTTCCGTGGTCAATCGCAGGTATGAAATTGCTCCGTATGCACACTCTGAAGCATCAGAAAAATGGTGCAATTGTGCCGCCTTGAATTTCACATCAAGTGGGTTCAAACATCTTGGAATCCGGAAGGTGTTCAGGTACTGCAGCTGGGACAGCCAGTCACTCCACTGATTTTCAAGTCTTGCTGTCAAACCTTCGTCCCAACCCTTGTTCAGTCTGCACAATTGCTGAAACAGTAATCTTGCCTTTAGTACGCATGGGCTCACATAACCCATGGGGTCGAATATGGTGCTTAGAGCACTGAGTACTCCTCTTTTGGTCTTTGGTTTATCTTCTATCTGCGCATCAAACTCAAAATGGTCCTGACCAACATTCCACAATAGTCCAAGGGCTCTCTCTGTAGGTAGCTTCTCACCACTTAGATCTTGAGTACCAAACGACTTGCCCCAATCCTCCTTGGGTATTGTTTTCATGAAATCTAGTGAGTTTGATACCCACTTAGTCAGATGGAATCCTTTCTCTGCGAGGAGCCTCTTCACTTCTTCAGCAACGGCGATGGCTGTATTTACATCAGCCAAAGACTTTAAACAATCATCTACGTAGAAGTTGTTGTTGATGGTTTCCATTGCCAACTGGTTTCCTGTTCCTTCGTTGTCTTTTACTACCATCTTCAAGGCGTAATTTGCACAGCTTGGGCTCCAGACACCACCAAAAAGATGCGATGTCATTCTGTATGGAATTATCAGGCCGCTGTTATCCCACCATAAAAATCTTAAAACATCTCTGTCTTTGACATTCACCTTCACCTGGTGGAACATGCTTTCAATGTCAGCCATGAAAGCTACCGGTTCCTGCCTGAAGCGCAGCAACACCCCTATCAGCTTATTCGTCAAGTCAGGGCCTTGGTGTACATGGTCATTTAATGACGTTCCTTTGTGGGTAGCGGCACAGTCGAAAACTATTCTACATTTATCTGGCTTCTTGGGATTCAGAACTGGGTGATGTGGCAGGTACCACACCTTACCATCATCTCGCTTCAATTCTTCACTCGGGACTTGTTCTGCATAGCCCTTTTCCAAGAGCTGGTGTATTTCTGTTGTATACTTTGACTTCAAGCTGCTATCCTTCTCAAGGCGCTTTCTTAAGGAGTGGAGACGGCGCTCTGCCATTATTCTGTTGTCATACAGGTTAGGTTCTTTGGCTTTAAAAGGTATATCCAACGAGTAGTGACCGTCCACAATTTCCTTGGATTCATCCCAAATCTGCAAGGTCTTATGATCATTAACAGACATCCCTACTTCTTCGCTGTTGGCTCCTTCCAGAGCCCAGAGCTTCTCAAGGTCTCCTGTTAGCTCTGTCCTTTGCTGTACGAAATGGGACGACCTTGCACTGTGACTGGATTGGTTTACTGGACCATTTATTGCCCATCCTAAGGGTGTGAGGACTGCATAAGGCTCTCCTGGTCTGCCTTTTCTTACTTCTTGTGGCATTAAAAGGTCTGCGCAG